TTAGTCGAAGGTGTAGTTGGTGTGTCAATCCTTAGTCAAGTTCTGTCAGGTATATAAATATATACATATTGATTTTTGGGAATGTGGACTCTTGATTGTTTAGTTATGGGATTATTGTTCCTGGTAGGCTCAAGTTTAGCAGCTATCCTTGGTTATTGGAAGTACAGATGTCAGAGCGGCATTGTTCAATTCTCCAGGAGTGACCTCAGGTCTATACAAAGTTCAGTTTGGGATGCCACGTTAGGGATGAGAGTGGGTCCAAACCCAGACCGGTAGACCCGGACCCGAAAAACCCGGGAACCAGTTAACGAGATTTTATAGGAGCGGAAACCAGACCGGTATAGAGGAACCGGTTCCGGTTCGGTTACGGGTAAGGTACCGGGTAAAGTGGGTCTAGAACCGGAAAACCAGGAAATATCAAAGTGGGTCGGATGGAACCGGGTAAAGTGGGTCTAGAACCGGAAAACCTGGGAAAACCGGAATTTTTTGGTAATTACTTAGTGGTTGAACTTTGAAAAATTTCAACTTTGATATCCCAACTTTGGGGGACTATAAGTCATTGAATATTAAACCAAAAATGACAAAATTGTAGTCTAAAATCATGTAAAAACTCTAAACTACACGTTGCAAAAAACCTCATGATAATTTGACTTCAAACAAATTAGATATGCAGGTTTTAAAATTTCACAGAATACAAAAATAAAGCTGAAAAAAATCGCGACTTTGATATCCCGACTTTGGAAGACTATAAATCAATGAATATGAAACCAAAAATAACAAAATTATAGTTTTAAATCATGTACAAACTCTATACTACACTTTGAAAAAAAACGCATGCTATTCCGACTTCAAACGAACTAGATATACATGTTTTAAAACTATCACAAAATACAAAGAAAGCTGAAAAACATAAAATTTTCAACTTTGATATCCCGAATTTGAGAGACTATAAGTCAATGAATATAAACCCAAAAATGACAAAATTATAGTCTAAAATCATTTACAAACTATAAACTGCACTCTAGAAAATATATCATGTCAATCTGACTTCAAACGAATGAGATATGGATGTTTTAAAACTATCACATAATATAAAAAAGCTGAAAAACATAAAACTTCCAGCTTTGATATCCCGACTTTGAGAGACTATAAGTCAATGAATATAAACCCAAAAATGACAAAATTATAGTCTAAAATGATTTACAAACTTTAAACTACACTCTGGAAAAACTTCATGCCAATCCGACTTCAAACGAATAAGATATACATGTTTTAAACTATTCATAGAAACTGGTTCCGACCCTTAGAACCGGTTCCGGTGTCTAACACGGTTCCGGTTCTTAAACCAGGTTTACCGGGACCCAAATCGAAACCCGGATTACCCGAAACCTGTATAGAGTCATTCTTTAAACCCGGGACCCTGACCAGTTTTACATATTCCGGTTCTAACGATTCCGATTCCGGTTCCGGTTCCGGTTTTCCGGTTCTAGATCTCATCCCTATGCCACGTCTACAAGTTTGGTATGTATGGTCAATCCGATCATAGTTCCAACAACATTTCTGGATAATTTTGGAATTTTCCTTAGATTTTGAAAGTTTTATCGGGTTATTTGTGCATTGTTGGGATTTGTTCACTTTCAATTAAGATTTGGGATCTTGTTTTAGTGATTTTGGAGAATGCTTCTATTAGTGGTTGAATTCTGTCATTATGTACATCCACTGATACTTCATCCTTTGGATAACATTGTAATGAATAAGGAATATAATAGCTTTAGGGTCGTTTTGCGTCTTTACGTGTTCCCCTTAGGAGTGTGTATTATGGAAGTTCATCAAATATTGTTATAAGGATTTTAGGTGGACTAAATAAGATAATATGAGAACACATGGTCCGAGTTTTTGGCATGGTTCTTGTCTAATTTATTGCTTCTGGTTTAGAACAAGTGTTCAACTGTCTATCTTATTTTCTGCTCACGTACAATCATGTTGGCATCTAGTGTTGCGTTGGTAATAGTCTAAACTACGATGGGGTTTGTGTGTTGTGGAATTGTATGGATTGGGATGCATTTGGCAAGTGCTGGAGGAATGTCGATTGGGTTCTTACAGTTCGGTATCTTTGTGATAAGATCGGTTCTTAGTATAGATTAGACTCAATCCCATGAATCATGGGCTATACATGTATATATTAGTATACATACAACATTAGGGAAAACCCTAATGTTGTGATCATGTCTTTGTGTCAATCGTCTTTGTGATAAACCCATCTTCTTGGTGAAGAAAAAACCCTTTCTTTGTGAAAGAAACAATTTAAAGAACATCTGTGTTATTTACTTTTTGTTTATTGTTTTGCTTAGATTAGTTTTATGTTTGTTCTTAATACTTGAAGTGTATCTGATCGATACAAACCTTCAGACGGCCTTCCGAATTCGTTATGGTCATTACGAGTTCGTGGTCATGCCCTTTGGGTTTACAAATGCTCCAGCAACATTCATGGATCTCATGAACCACATATGCAGGCCTATGTTGGATCGGTCTGTGATTGTGTTTATTAATGACATCATGGTCTATTCCAAGACATAGGAACAGCATTAGGAGCATCTGAGAGAGGTGTTGGAGACCTTGAGGAGGGAGAAGTTGTATGCAAAGTTCTCTAAGTTTGAGTTTTGGTTGCGTGAGGTGTAGTTTCTAGGACACCTTGTCAACCAAACCGGTATCCTGGTCGATCCAACAATGTTAAGGCAGTGATGAGGTAAGAGGTTCCGAGGTCTCCATACGAGTCTCATAGTTTCCTTGGGTTGACAGGTTACTATCGCAGATTCATTCAGGATTTCTCCAAGCTATCGGTCCCTTTGACTCGGTTGACGAAGAAGACTGTCACCTTTTGTTGTGGGCCTGAGTAGCAGGCAGCTTTTGAGACCCAGAGACAGGTTTTGTGAGGCACCGATTCTGACCCTGGCGGATGTGGTTGGGGACTTTGTGGTTGTGATGCGTCGATCATGGGTTTAGGTGTAGTTTTGATGCAGCGGGGTCATGTGATTGCCTACACTTCGAGGCAACTGAAGCTTCATGAGGCGAACTACCCTACGCATGACTTGAAGTTAGAGGCTGTGGTTTTTGCCCTCAATATTTGGCGATATTACCTCTATGGGGTTCGATGTACCATTTACATGGATCACAAGATTTTATGGTACCTGATGGATCAACCGAATCTGAACATGAGGCAGCGTAGGTGGTTGGATGTGGTGAAGGATTATGATTATGAGATCATTTATCACCCGGGGAAGGCTAATGTGGTGGCCGATGCTCTCAGCCGCAAGGGATTATGATTATGAGATCATTTATCACCCGGGGAAGGCTAATGTGGTGGCCGATGCTCTCAGCCGCAAGGCGGCTACCGCCCTGATCAGACACGTGTGTTTGAGGATGACCATGATTACTCTGCTTCTGGAGCAAATCGGGAAGCACGGGTTGAGGCTATGAAGGAGGAACACCGGAAGAGAGAGCGTACAGTGGGCCAGGTGTCTTCATTCGATTATGATAGTCGAGATTTATTGACTCTTCATCAGAGAGTGTGGGTTCCATATTAGGGTGGCATGCGTCAGGTTTTGATGGAGGAAGCGCATAATTCGAAGTTCTCTATGTGTCTTGCCAAGTTTTCTCAAACCTGACCCACTCAATTTATATGCATCACATATAGCAGTGTTAAGACTGCTGGAGACTTAAATATGATGCTGAGTGATTAAAGAGAAGATTTGAATTAGTGTTTTCGACTGTTAGGTCTTTACGATGTAATTATGTTATTTATTGATTATGACATTATTTTGTAACAAACATATGTAGTCAAAAATGTTTTAATATACTGTAATTTTCCACAAATAAAGATGTTATGGTTTTTAAAGCATAAAGAATAAGTTTTTTTTCAGTTTTGAAAAATAAGGGATGACACACTAACAATGCAAAAACATGAAACCACGAGGACCACCATATAATGTTTCTGATAATTATCCTCACTGTAATACCTTTTGCAAACCGCAATCGTGTAATTTTGTGACAGAGTATACATGAAAGCATTTCATCTACTAACTCTTGAATTTCATGAATTCGCAAAACAAACATGCCTATGTTTTACATGGGTGGTGGCAGGTTTATTCTAAATGGTGCTGATTACAAATGTGTGGTAGCAACAAACTTGTGTTGATTGGTGCAACATGGCATGGTTTATCCCACATCTATGGTTGTATTGCTTGCAAATTAGAACAGTGAAATGCATACGTAACACATAGGCAATTATATCACAATCGATACAAACATCTTATAGATCGAGACAAAACATAAAAGAAAGGCTATTTAATAATAATGAATAAAAACAAAACTAAAGAGGACAATTTTGACAAATTTATTTACACGTATAGTATTATTTTGTTATTTTAATTTTAGAAACTTATTTTAAAATAAAATGAATAAAAACAAATTGCTAAATTATGGGCGTGTTGGGTATTTTAGCTTTTATTTTTAAAAAAAAGCAGCTCATAAAAAAGAAAGTTCTTTCATTTGACTTAGAAGTTTTGTGTTTTTATTTTAAATAAAAAATCTCTAATCCAAAAACTATTTCAAGTATGTTTATCAAAAAACTCATACCTATTATAACAAATTTACGAATCGTTGTCTTTTCATAAAAAAACTATTTCCAAAATTACTTTTAAAAACATTACTTATATATTTATCCTTTTCAAATCGTTGTCTTTTTATATAATTTAATATATTTATAAAGATTTCAATTAATTTTACAGAACACTCATATATTAATAAAAAGTTATAGACCAACTTACAGTTATAAAATATCAGCTATCAACGATTAGTCATCAGTTTTAAATTAATATATTTAAGTTTTTTACTACAGTTTAAATTAATTGGTCTAATATTAGAAATAACTTTTTTATTTTTATCGACCAAACTCGTTTAGAAGTCCCCTACTATTAAGGCAGGTTGTTGATCCATTGAGCTAAACATGAATCGCCTTGGACCTTCTTTCTTCTTCTTCTTTTCTCTCTCTATCTCGCCATGCTTAATTCGAAGCTATTCCTGAGTGTATCGACGGGTATTCTGCTCATATCTCTGTTGCTATCTCTCGGAATATTCCTTTCCAATAATCACTCCATTTATAAAGATGTCGAAGTTATTCCGATAGACGGTGGTGCAATTGGACCGGAGAGCTTTGATTTTAATCCTGTTGACGGAACAGGTCCCTACACCGGCGTTTCTGATGGCCGGATCATCAGATGGATCGCGACTGAAGGGCGGTGGACTGATTTTGCGATCACGTCGCCGAACAGGTGAATCAAGACCGACTATGTATTATATACTATTTATAGTTTTGATATACTGTCACAAAATAATCATTCCTTTTGAGTATTATATTTACTAAAAGTAAACAATAACATTTAATTATTATATTTACATGATGATATGATATTGTTTTAACTGTAGTTCACAACAATACAATACAATATAACACGTTTTATGTCAACTTCATGCATTCTTGTTTATTGGTGATCTTTAAAAGTGTATTATTATATATTAAATTGAATATTTTATTAAAAACAATAAAAAGTTATGATGGTTAAGGCTTTAGGATGTGCGGTGTGCCACAAATTCTCTTTTTTTTTTTTTTTTTTTTTTTTTTACTTGTCACGTTAACATCATTTTCCGTTCACTTTTTCATTTCTTTACAAAAAACGGTCACCTCTCACAAAAACGGTCAAACAGCTCCACCTTACCACCATCTCCTTCTACACCATTGTTGGTGTACTTCCAATGAAAAAGGATAGTGGAACATAAAGAGGAACAAAGAAGAAAGAGGAAGATAAAGAAACAGAGAAGAAGAATTATCATTGGTTGTGGTTTTTCGTTGTATATACGAGGGTGTGACACAAATTCTTTTTTATTACGTGTCACATCATCATCGGTCATATTATATTCACTTTTTTATTTCATCTAAAAATGGTCACCTCTCACAAATAAAAGTCTGAAAATACAAAAAGAGAGAAGTAGTATGGTAAAAACTTAGACTATAGACACACCAAGCAGGTCCACCTTAACACCATTTCCTTCAACACTACTGTTGGTGTATCTCCAATAAAAAAGGATGCCATAACATAAAGAAACAGAGACGAAAGATGAAGATAGAGGAACAAAGAAGAACAATTATTGTCGGTTGTGGTCTCTCGTGGTATATACCACATGAGGCCATGATCGCGGCTCTAGGTCATTACCACAAGACTATCGCGATGGTGTGCACTATGCTTGTCTTTCTCCGGCTCATCACCATGAGACCTTTGTGTCATGTGTGTCTTAGGTAAGGACGTTCATGTCATGTACGTCCTATGGTCTTAGAGTGGAGAGAAAAACACTGCAATAACATTTGGGTGAGAGCGCTTTTCACCGTGGTCCACAACAGCCACCTAGGCTCATTCACGCCACATAAATAGATAATAAGAGAAACAAAGATTAGTAAATAAATGTATGTTGGTAATAGTGTTTGATATTTATCCTAACCTATGTTGGCTTTTGTGAATTTCCAAATGCTAATAATAATTACAACAATATTTATAGTACAGCATTTTACAAATATAATTAATGGCCATTAAGTCATAAAGACTAACTTAATTGTTATATATATTCATATCAAAAAGTCTTTAAAACTAGTCATCATAACCAATTTAATAAAATTTTTAGCTATTTTATTCAATCTTATAGTTTTCGCAATCTATTTTTATTTAGGGCCAAAGCCATAAAAAAAAGTAAATTAGACGAATGGTCCTTATGATTTGGGTCATTTGCATGTTTGGTCCATAATTTTTTTTTAACTCAGAAGGTTCTTACTATTTGTTTTTGTTGTGCGATTGGTCTTGTCTTATCTAAAAATATTATTTTTCCCTTGATTTTTTAATTTATTCAGATAAGATGGGGTAGGTAAGGTAAGGTAAGGTAATGTGGAGGTGGGGTTGGGTGTGTGTTTATTTAAATAAATTAAAAAATCAATGACAAAATAGTCTTTTTTAGGTAAGAAAGTGACAAATCGTGCAATAAAAACAAACAGTAGAGATCTTTCGAGTTAAAAAAAATAAGTTAGGGACCAAACGTGCAAATTAGTCCAAACCGTAGGGACCATTCGTATAATTTACTCAATAAATAAATAAACATCGTCCTTATTCGTCATTTTAGCTCTACAAGCGTTTTGTTGTACATATCATCTAATTCTATACATATAAATGCTTCATTTAAGTTATTGGATAACTATTTTTGACCAACTCTAATATGTTACCCAACAATGACACATCAATATTTTCGTACATACAATTATTTTTAAATTAAATTAAAAATTGTTTTATTAAGTGTATAGAATTTACTTGATAATATAAGCAGACATAAATTAGAGTAATAATATTTACAATTTTTTTTCTTGAATGATATTAATTATTTAAAAATAAAATATGTTGAAATATTATTTTATTCGCAGGAAAGGGTGTGGTGGGCCAGAAATGGAGCATATATGTGGACGACCATTGGGCTTAAAGTTTGACAATAGCAGGGGAAAATTGTTGATTGCTGATGCTTATTTTGGGCTACTTTCAGTGGGCCCAAATGGTGGTTTAGCCACGTCACTGGTATCAAAAGACCAAGGTCTTCCATTAATGTTCTCAAATTCGCTAGACATTGACCAAACCGATGGAGTTGTCTACTTTACTGACAGCAGTCAACGATACACCCGTAGGTAAATGCCTTATAAAAATGGTAACTAATTTTTGGTTTATAAGCTAATTTATCAATAATTTATCATAAAACTAATTTAGAAGTTACAATTTTTTTCTCCCTTCTAATCTCTTATCTTGTATCCATTTTATGTAGGGATCACATGCTTGTCGTACTCACTGATGAAAAAAGTGGAAGATTACTAAAATATGACCTTGAAAACAGAAAGGTCAGAGTTATACTCTATAACCTCACCTTTCCAAATGGAGTGACATTAAGTCAAGATGGTAATTTTCTTCTCGTTGCCGAGACAACAATATGTAGAATTATGAGGTTTTGGCTTAAAACATCGAAAGCTGGAACACTTGAAGTATTTGCTAATCTTCCAGGGTATCCTGACAATATTAAGAGAAATCAAAAAGGAGAATTTTGGGTGGCAATGTTTTCAAAAGAAAGTAAAATTTTGAGATGGGTTCACTCAAAACCTTGGATTGTATATGTTTTGAATAAGATTATTCCCATTAACTTTGTTAGAGTGAGTTCACACATTGCTAAAGGAAAAGGTGAAGGGTTGGCAATAAAGTTAGGGGTTAATGGTGAGATATTAGAAATCTTGGAGGATGTGCATGGTAAAAAATGGAAATATGCTAGTGAAGTAATGGAGAGAGATGGCAATTTGTGGATTGGATCCGTGGAAAACAATGCTGCTATTAAACTAAAAACGCAATAGTAAAAGAAAAGGAAAGGAGATATGACACATGTACATAGTAATTGAATAAAGTGTGTTTCATTTGGTTAGTTTTCTAAAGAATAATTTGTGTAGTCTTACTTCATAGTGTTGTTATAAGCTAAGCGTTATCAATTATTATACTTGTTTAATGTAAAACTATATTCTAAGTATAAATTGGTAAATGATTGTAACTATGGAAATTTATAGTTTTGTTTCAAAATAAAAAACAATTAAAGTAACTAACAAGTAGAAATAGGATGGCACAAGGATAAAATAAAAAAATGGATAACAAGGAAGAACTGAAAACCATTTTCTATTATATATAAATTAATGCAGTTCTTAAACAATGTTAAAGGAAATAACCAATGAGTAGGGTGTTAGATAGAGCGGTTCGAATATATTTTGACCCCGAAACGAAAGAAAAACTAAGACCCCTTTAAAATGTAAATTAGAAAAAAATAATTATTTCATGAAAAATATAATTTTTTTAAAAACTTTTGATGCAAAGTTACTATTAAGAGTATAAAATATAACTAGCAAGTAGAAAATAACAAAAACACCTTATCACTAAAGTTGTATTAGACTATTAGTTGTATATTTGTTCAAACTTTTATGCTTGAAACTTCAAATATTACTATAACAACAAATAAACAAAAAATAGCAACAAATTAAAATACATGCAAAAAAAGACCAATCTGTAATTCACACAACTACAAAATAAGAAATTACAAACTATGAATTAATGTAAAAAAATTTAAATCAACAAAGACTAATGACTGTAATTACGATTGAAGACACTTATTTAGATTATATAACCAAATTGAAAAAGCAAACACAAATGTAAACAAAAATATACATTCAAATTAATCTAGTAATCAAGAATTATTATTAACTTGGATAGTATAATCAAAATTGAGATGTATAACAAACAAAAATCATAAAATTCAATTCCTCTTATGAGATGATGAAACTTAGATGTGAGAATTTTCAGATAGATTATACTTTTAAAAACAAAAATCATTCTTTTCTTTCCGTTAGAACCATGGGGATGGACAACCTTTACGAGGGTGGATTGTTGCTTCCATAGAATAATAACGAGACGCTTAGGAAATTTCATATCGTTTTCCCCTTTCAAAAACTCAAATTTTTTTTTTCCGTTTTTTAGCCTCCGAATTCGGATACGATGTGTTCATTCTTTAGCTCTTGATCTTCATGTTGACAATCAATTCCTCCGAAGTGAAAAAAATCATGTTCTACGATACAATATTTGACCCATAAAACTATTTTCTTAAACAAAACATTAATCAGATAATATAAGTACGTAACATGGACTAAAAATTTTGGGCCCCTATAAGAAATGGGTTGTGCGGACACCCTTGTTGCCCACCGTATGAACGGTTCCTAGTTTTAGAAAAAGACCAACATTTCCAGAATATTAGCTAGACACCCGAACTAGGTTTAGTGGTCCTTCTATTTATACATTTTATTTGGAATGTGGTACCTACCATCTCTTAGATTAGCATTTAAGATGCTTTGGTTTTTCACAAAAAATATTTTCAGATGTTGAAGAGGCTATGCTGTTTTAACATCCGTTTCCTGGTTTAATTAGCTTAAGACTTTGAGATTTCGAGAATGATGTTTTGGGGAAAAACCTTAAGTCGCGGTGTTGTTGCTTGGTGTTCAAGGTGTGGCCACGTCAATTAAATGAAGAGTGTGTCTGATTGATGTTCGTGGCATGGTGCGGGTGTGTTCCACAGCATGGTGGCCTCCACAACCCAAACCCTAGGTCTCGAGCGTTGGGCCCTATTTAAGGAATGTTTGTTTAGGGTTTGCTCATTTCCTCCAGCCTCCACCTTTAGAAAATGCTAACCATGAAACCCTAGTGTATCAACTCAAAAATCATAAGGTAAAAGTTTCATTTTTAATTCTATATATAAACACCAGTTATTCTTATCAACCATTCAAACCTTGTCAAAGTGAAAATAGTTATCAGAGTACAATCCCAAAATCATAATGTGCGAAACATGGATGGATGTGTTGCGATCACGGCGGGCCCTTCCCTTTCGAACCGGAAGTACCTAAAACCATAAACATAGCACAAAGCTTAGTGATTTCCCCAAAATACTCCATACCATACGTACATAACAGTCAAAACATAATTGGGTCCATTTCACCCCCTTCGGTTTCTTTCAATTGGTACTAGGTCTATTTCACCCCCTTCGGTCTCTTTCAACCGGTAATGGGTATATTTCACCCCCTTCGGTCTCTTTCAACCGATATTAGGTCTATTCACCCCTACAACTAGCATACAATCATATCAGCAAGAGTCGCAGAGACAACAAGCATATATAAGCATAACAGGAAATTGTCACGAAGACAACAATCATCCTACAAACATAATCCAGTGGGTCGGTATTGCTGCCTTCGACCCACGAGTATAGTGAAGGAACTCACCTCTCAGTCTGAAAGATGATTAAACAGGACACTGCTCCGAATATCAGCTCTACCGGTCACCTATTCATTAGAACATGACCAAACTTAACTTATAATCAAAATACCTAAAACACCCCTAAGTCAACTTGGTCAAAAACATGTCAATGTCGAAAAGTCAAAAAGTCAATCTATTCAATTCTGCTGAGTACGCCCACTATACTCAGCTTGTACGCTTAGTGTACTCAAGCCTTAACCAGAAACGTGGTGTTGACCTCGTACGCCTTGTGTACAATAGCGTACGCCCAACATACATTCAACCATCATTTCCTTTTATTAAGAGCTTAATCCTTTAATCTCTTCTGTCCAAATTCCAGATCTAGTCCTCAAATGATGTCCTTAACCATAAAGTTTCCAAATTTATGGTCTTGCATGACTATTAAGTACTCGATACCAAAAAACGTAACTTCTTAACTCTTTAAGACATCCTAGCTCATGCATGAAAAAAAAAGGTCCAAGATTACATTTTTATGGTTCCTAATAACTCCGTAATGGATAAAGTTTCCAAATTTATCTATTAGAATGGTCCAAACAACCAAGATCTAGTCTTTACGTCTCAAGGGGACCAAAAGTTCATCTTTTTCAACTGAATCTATTAACTCCAAGTCTCAAACCTTTAGATATGAATCAATATGATGTTTAGATGGAAAAAGTTTCCAACTTTATCCATAACAAGGTCACAAACTTTCAATATCTAAAATTTATGCACTAAAGTAACCAAAAGCTCATAACACCCAAGACTAGCTAGTTCTATTAAACGTATCATCAAGATTCAAAATTTATACCTCCAGAAGCTAGATCAAGATGAATAAGGTTTGGATCTACAAGCTCCAAGACAACCAACACTTCTCCATGGTGTTCTTCTTCTTCCAAATTCACCAAAAATCCACCAAAATCACTCCAAGCCTCAAAATCCTTTCAAATGGGGGCTAGGGTTTCGAATTAAGGGTTAGAGGGGATGTTGGCTGAAGATAAGGAGGGTTGGAAATGAGTTAAGGTCTTTAAATAGGGTCCAAGATCCTAAATTAGGGTTTGCATCTGAGTGGAGTACGCCTAGTGTACTTGATAACACTCTGCGATCCTCCCAGCCTAGTACCACAACGTACGCCCTGTACACCCAGCGTACTCGGCTTAGCCCAAAACCCTGGTAACTTCAAACGGTCATAACTTCTTCGTTTCAACTCCGTTTTCGACGATCTTTATATCCACAGAAAGGTATTGAGGAAATCTACAACCATATCTAATTACTTTTGACTTAAAACTGTAACATCCAAAGGACAATATAAAATTTTCATTTTTAAATTAAAGAAACCATTGTTTTCAATTCCAAAACCATATCAAGTCAAGTCTCAAATACAAATATTTACCAAGATCAGAACATCATCAAATCTCCCAAAATATATCATCGATGGATGTGTATGATCACGCCTTTGCTTTGCCAAAATCATCAGACGCGCTTGAAACAATAAACTGAAACTGTAAGCCAAAGCATAGTAAGTTCCCCCAAAGTACCACCACACAATATAACATATACAACATTGCATGTTGGGTCCAATCAGTGATCAGACTGGAATACCCCTGGCCCAATCAGTCATCCGACTGGACTGCCAATATACAATGTGTCCGCTTAGCGGACTGGAATACCCTCGGGTCCACTCAGTCATCGTACTGGAATACCCCCGATCTATTGGCTCACGCATAAAGCAGTAAAGCCTCAACCTAAAACCATAACATGTAGACATATACATAACATATAGTTAATAATCAGTTAACAAGCAAACAGGCAGATCTACAGATCACTACGGCATACCAATATCCTATATACCAGGACTCAATTTTAACTTCTCAATATAACATAGCAACATCCGCTAACCAGGATACTGATTTAGTGGGTTGGCATAGATGCCTTCGACCCACAAGTACAGTGAGGAAAGATCACCTATTAGTCTGAAAAAATAGTTGAATATGTCTCTATTCTGATCCTCAGCTTTACCTATCACCTATTGTCCTATTCATTAAATAGAGACCAATCTCAAATACAACTCAAAATACCTAAAATACCCTTAGGTAAAACTTGGTCAAAACCCTGGTCAAAGGTCAAAGTCAACAAGTCAACACAGCCAGTCGCTACATCGTTGCTAGCTCCAGCCTCGTCGTGGTGACTATAGGACAAACCGGTCGCATGGCAGTCATCCACCACGACGTGGTGACTGTTCAGACTGGCTTAATCCAATAAGCTCTTAATCCATCAAACCAACCATTCAAACTTCCCATAAAGCTTTCTCTCATCCAATGAACCATAAAAATTGTTGCTTTATAGACATGCATGTCCAATGCCTATTTTGAACTCAAACTAGGTCAAAATAGAGTAAAAAGGGCCAAGATCACATGTAAGAGTTCAAAAATCCAAAAAAAATTACAGATCCAACATTCCTAACCCCAAAGGGACTCTGGGGATCCATAAATTTGGCAATTTTATGGAATCCCAACAGTCCAATATGTCCTAACAT